ACTGAAAGCTTTTCTCATGCGCGTTGAGTGCGCAGAGAAAAATAAGTAGTCACGTAGGGATTCAGGATTGGCGACAGAAGTGGTAAGATGTGTTAAAAATGGAATAAGTGAAATTTTTAAATGAATTATAAACAATTTATTTTAAACAATAATTTTGTGCGATTTCAATTTCTATAACAAAAAAAAAGCATCTTTTAAATTTATTAATTATTTTAAATTTTATACAATTTTAATTTAAAATGTGCGCCAAAAGTACTATCGGACTATAGAATTTTTTTTTACAGAGATCAAATATTAGGAAACCAAATTATATGAAAATTTCAATTCCACCGACGTCAATGACCAAACACGTGACTTCAGCGAGCCGGTGACGCGAAACTATGAACTCCTCCCCATCCAAAACTTCCCAACGTGCCTATACGAGTATTCACTTGAAAGAACAAACTGTCGAATTCGAATATTTCCACTACTGTCGACGCCCTCCGTTACTACCTCGGTGTGTTTGTAAGGTAACAGCTTACGTTGTCCTGTACACACGTCCTAAATTCGAGAATTTCAAACTTTTTTGAATAACTTTGTGAATCTAATCGATTCTCGAATCCACCTGAACATTAAAATCGGTCCAGACATTTAGGAGGAATTTAGTTGACATACATACGGACAGAAAACCTATATATGTATATTTTAAAGCCTGTATAGAGTACAGTCCACCACGCGACCCCACTACCAACTTTAGTTAGAAGTGTAATTCTTATTGTTAAATACTTTTGTGTTAGGTTTTAATATTATTTCGAAAATATGCGCACATTTCACCACGATGTCTTCCTCCGCTGTGCAAGTGATATACCAACACTTAAAATTAATAATTTCCAGCACCGAGATTTCAACTCGTATGTATCGAATCAAAAGCGATACGGACACGGAGCTATCACGGCCGTTTTTGTTTCGACGAGAGCCGCTATTCCGTGGCCAACGAACGCGAGAGATTCACGCGAGTCGCGGGGTGAACAGCCCCCATTGTCGAGCATCTGCCTCGCCGCGGGGGGGTTGAAAAACCCGCGCCACCTGGCCGGCGAGGACGCAATGTGATCCCCCCCCCCCCCCCCCCTCCCCCTGCGGGCTCCGCGGCGACTGAGGGTTCAATAGGCACCCCGTCTGTATGCAACACTTCGGCTACAGATTGCCGATACAATTATCTTATTGAGTTAATTAAGAACACAGTCTTCCTTGCCGGTCTTTGTGTACACCGTTCGAAGTTTGTTGACAATGCTACAAAAATGCCCGTATACTTATTATGTCGAATGAATATCATTTTGGGGGTAAAACGGGACCCTATTAGTAAGACTGCGCTCTCTGTCTGTCTGTCACCAGGCTGTATCCCGTGAACCGTGATAGTTAGACAGTTGAAGGTTTCACAGATAATGTATTTCTGTTGTCGCTATAACAAAAAATAAGAAAAGAAACATAAAAAAAAATTAAGTGGGATCCCCATACAACAAACAAGGTCTTGGTGCAATTTTTCTAGATTGTGATACGGAACCCTTCGCGAGTCCGACTCGCATTTGTCCGTTTTTTCATTATAATTATTTAACAACCAAGATGACCCACGATAGCTCAGTGTCCGGGCGTTCGTTTTAAATTCAATATACTCCAGTGACCTGAGTTAAAGTTCCGGTTGAAAATGTTAATTGAAATTTTAATTTGTGACATCAAGTGCTCAACGGCGAAGGAAATCATCTGAGGACACCTGCATATATTTTTTTTAAATAATAACAAAAGATATATATTTTTAGATACGTGAAGTCTGCCAATCCGCAGTAAGTTCGCAATGCCCTAATACCCTCTATACAGAGGCGGCCTTTGCCCACCAATGGGACAAATATAGGCTATCGGTAAACTTTTTTACTTTTAAATGTGGATCTTTTGTTAAACTTTGACAAAAATAATTCGTAACTCGCCTCAATTGAATAACTAAAATCTTATTTTTCTTCATACCTTTGATATAATATATCTTAAATGAAATAACTTGATAGTGATATATGATGACTGATATATAAATAAAATGTCAATAGTACATACATCAGCAACATTATAAAAGCGAAAACTATTCTATTTATAATACAGACGGCAGCTCGGTTACACCTCTCGCGTTCTCATTCCAACACGACAATTGGAAAGCGCGCGAATATTAGCTTCGAATCAACGTCTACACAATCGATTTAATAACAATCTTAAAAAAAACAAACAGCGCACCAATAACCTTCCATTACATTACTCACAAGTTTTCCATATAACAATATAACTAATTGACAACTTATCGCAAATCATTTTACGGCTAATTATGTATCACTTCAAACTTGTCGCGTAAACACCGATTCATAATGACAACGAAGACGATGTTCTAGAAAGTATCGCTAATACGCATCACCTGTCTCACTCGCTCTCATCGTTTCGTCGTGTCGTTGTCGTTTCTTCTCTGTTTTGTAAACAAGTTCATACTTAAGGCAGTGATTATAAGTGTTATCAAATATCGTCGCTTTAAAAATATTGATTGGAAAGAAAAAAGCGATAACGCCTCGTGTTTACGATAGTCTCATTATCGTTCAACGTATCGCTGTCTCTTTTACTGTCGCCTAAAAAGAGGGAAAGGCGTAATCGTAGGGAGTTAGACGCGAGCATCACGCAACGCGAACGTCACAGATCAAGCGACGTAGACGGAGCGTACGTAATATTTATTTATCGGATTTGCTGAAAACATGTTCGCAGTGACGAAGAAACGCAAACAAAACACGTCACATTTGGAGATTTAAAAGCTTGATTGACGTTTATAATTTTTAACGTTAGCTATGTCCAGTAATCTCTAAGGTTAAAAGAGGTGGGATATACCTTTTTGTTCGGTTTTTATAGTGTGATGACATACAAGTCCGCCGAGAGTCCGTGACTACTAATGGTACCAAATTAATAAGAGTTAATTCAAACGCTGAATTCAGCCGCCTCTTCACTACCTTATATAATAATAATACACCCTTATAAGGCGAAGTTACAAATGATTTTATTAGCTCGTGAATAAAAGAATTAGGTAACGCAGGATATTATAAACCCAATCCAAAACCTCACTAGAGTCGAAAATATGTTTATAGTTCGGGATATAGCATCGTTTATTAGGTAATTCAATATAAAATACATGTAATACTTTTAATTAAATTTGATTAAAATACTTGTAATTCTTTATTGCACCGGCTCCTTTCTCTCGCGCCACGAGTAGTCCATACTCAATTCTCTGGCCATATGACCAGATACACAATTTTGCGTCTATTTTAAGGTGGTTTAATATAATCATAATATTATAGCTCGCAGTGGGAGACCTACTTAATGTAGGTAGCGCGAGCGCAGGTGGCGCGTAGCACTAGCATCGCGTGCACTCGCCGAGCGACCGCTCGAGCAAGCGGATGTGCCTTATGGGCGGCTGTCGAACACATGGCGGACGGGCCGCCTCTTAACCCTTTCGTTTTTATTTAAATTTTAGAGCATGGGGTCGTTGACTCCGTTGGGCCACGGTTCCAAGTTTCGGTTCCAGGGGATTTTTATAAGAACCTGATTAGTACTCGATAGTCAGCGCGCTTGATAATAAAGCATCAGTGGATAGTAAAAGCTAGACTCTGTAAGTTCCTATTCACCCATGGTAGTGCCCTTTTGATATTTTGAAATACTATGTTGGAGCCATTGCGCGAATAGGGAAAATCCAATACATATATAACATTTATTCTAAAAGCTTAACAAACATTGAAAAACACAATATTAATTAGCCTGCAAATTAGATCGAGCGATTTAATACGGTATAATTGATTCCGTTATATGGACTCCCCTTCTAACTATTCAATGAAATGAACTCTGCGGTAAACAGAAGACGTTATAGTCATAAAAAAAACCATTTTCCCGTATAATAAATAAAATACCACAAGCCCCGTTACAACAATGCCTCACTATTACAATGTTAAACACTGGATTCATAATTAATCAGTCACGGCGTATTAATCGATCGTTTGCCCATCAACTGATTAAAGAAAAAAGCTCGGACGGCGAACTTATAGAAGATTTACGATCGCGTGGCTCGGAAACGCCTCGCTCGCGATCTCCGGAGCGGATCAATCCCAGCCACCCACCATGTCCACCATTACCAACACGAGCGGAGCCTTTGAGGTCGGAATAGGCTCCCTCCTCGAAGTTACCTAAGGCGTGTGGATCGGGAAACACCGGATTCCGTGCGAAACGACCTCATACAAGTGCCAGTGGTAATAAATCTTTAAGGCTAAGCGCATTTTTAAATAGCATTAAAGGTTTCTAATCTTCGTTCCAAAGAATGCAACGAAGTCTAGTCTGCCAACGTACCAAGATTATTCGAGCCGAGTGTAATTTAAAATTGCCTTCATAACACCACAGGGATTTCTCGTGAGTACTGGTGCGCCTAAGTTTGAATCTCTCAAGTTCATGGCCGCCCCCGATTGGTGGGGAGTGCTCGGAGGGCGCGTAATACTTGCGTCTTAAAATACAGGGGTGGCCTTCAAGTCGATCGCTTAAACTTTAAGAATATAGAAACTGATTAGACAACATTATTTCACCTTCACTCGTTACTTTAGCAACCCTTACGACAGGATGTCCACTGCGGCGGATTACCAAAGCTTATTAAAGAAAAAAATCTATTAGACCCTTATCTGGACGACGTAAGTGAAACAATAATGGTAGCTGGATAGGACTGCGTACACATCTATAAATATCTGTTATTATTATTACTGCGAACATTGTGCATACTATACTAATGGTAACCGCCACTCATCGATAAAAATAAACCCAGTTACCACACTCACGGATATAAGCGAAATAACTGATATAATTACGTTAATATCACCATTCTGGATAAATCGATTAATTGTCTTTTCGCATCCGATTTCAATTTCCAATCCGCGAGGTTCAGTTCATTGGCTCGTCATCGGCCACGATTAATGGAGACATGTTTTCGAGTTGGCAAAAAAAAAAACCAAGCTCGCAGTATTACTACGGATCTGGGCATGCTGACGCTACTTCGCCGCCCGAATAGGGAAGGGCGCGCGGTTAGGGGATCGAACGCTATCTCGCGCGGCGAACGGGTCGCGGTGTCAACGCACCGCGCCCCCTACCACGGCCACGAAACGATACCGACGGCGTGGCAGATCGAACTTTTGCATACGACAACGGTGACCGTTACACGAAGGTCGCGTTGAGAAAGTATTTGGGCTTGACAGATAGTTGGTGCGAGTATGTAACTTGTGTTCGCGATTTTCAACAATAGTTGCACGTATTTATTTCGAGATAACGTTACTAGTATTCGCAAGGGCCAACTAGCATAAGATAAGTACTTAAACATCATCTATACTATGCGTACAGAACAAAAAAAAAATGGATTCTTTTAATTTGAAAAGTTTTCAAGCGATCAGGCGGTTCACCTGATAATAAATGATCACCACATGCGTTGACAACCTTGAAAGACGGTGGATTTGTATTCCCTATAGGACATATAGGTTTCAAATAAGGTTTACACTGTCCACTAACCAAAAGGGTTCATTCCCCAAATATATTAAACATAAACGGCGTCGCATGCGTTACGCAGCTAAGCGTCTCAGTCAAAAATTAAAATAAAAACTTGACTAAGACAAATCATAATGGTATGCCTTAAAAATAATCGGAAAATATTCAGATTTGCCGCGGCTAACAATTCGCCGTGTAAGTCCAAACAAAAACAAAAGCGCCAATTCGGTCCCATCATCGCAGCAAAGAAGCACCAAAGGCGAACGGACGATGACTCGGCATTTGGCAATTGGCAATAGTGTGTTACACATCGGCAAACGCATCCGAGGTGATCCCTAGTTGAGTATAAAGGTGGGTACTGACCGGTGTTACGAGGTGTAATGTAAAGTGTCACACAGCGAGCGTTCGTGCAGTCAGTACGGGGTTAACGAGTTACTATGAATGGTATATTACGCTTCGTAAAACCGGTCAGTACCCACCTTAAAGGCCCCTGTACACATTAGTCCAATGCATTGGGCAAAAGCGTTTGTGTTCGCGGTGTGTAGCTGTTAACACATTTGCGTGCTGCTCATTGTAACGCGCCAAGATCCTTTGATGTGTGCTCAAAAACCCGACACAATTCGGCTTACCGGCCAACGTTCGTGCCAACTACGATTTGTCACAAACGTTTCGCAAAATAGCACATTGGTCCAATGCATTGGCCCAATGCGTTGGTCCAATGTGTACAGGGGCCATAAGGCATATTCGTGCGTCACACACGCTACGCCGCGATGTTCTCACGGTGGGCCGTATAGTCCCGCGTTTACGCAAATACGTCACGACGATTCCAGGTGAAAATTGATTCGTGTTCGAGGAGCAAAAGATAAAGTTGAGCCTACGTATTAATGCCAAGCACTGTACACATTAGCGTGCCAAGATTTCGGTCAGGGGATTTCGGTCAGGGGTCATTTCGGCCAAGATTTCGGGGGATGCACTACCCTAAAAAACCTACCGATTTCTCTAAGTGCTTGATGATAACTAAGGTAGCTTAATTGATATTCAAAGCGGTCTTTGAAAGAGTTTTATTTAACTTAAAAAAACAATGCTAACTTTACTATAACTCGTGTGTTTCATTGTTTTGGAGCGTGTACAGTTCTTCTATGCATATATGGAATGCACGCGCATGAAATGATGTTAGTATTAGGTAATAGTCCACCAAGCAGAATACTGCCGATAAGCGCGGACTTCAGAAAATATAGTGTACTTCAGAAAATTCGTCAGAAAATATAGTGTCTTATCGTCGATACGGTATTTATAAACTTGTATACGTCATATGTATATTCTTTCAATCAGGCGTCAGCTAAACAGTTTGTAATATTAGCGACGCTGTTAAAATATCGTACGATGTTACACGACAATAATGTAACGAGATCATTGACAAATCGGGCGTTAACCGAATGACTTTCAGAATATTCGCTCGCATTCTAATACGGCCAAAACATAATATCATTGTACGAAGACACCGACGTGGATGTCGAGTATTCTTTCAGTCGGGGTCGTATAAAACATTCCGCGGTGAGTAATGCAGCCGAATTGAAGTTATTGTTCACTCGGTGCGATTCGAACACGACCTGGTTATTTTTCAATTTGTTGACTAATGCCCGGTTCCTATATTCAACGAACGGCCATTAGTTACATAGCTTCGTAACTTTCATAACGACTTGTAGATTAAAGGAACGCTAGAAACTCACTTTCCGTAGGTAATGCAACGGCTCGTAAGGAAAACGCCCCGTTTTGTTAATATAGGAACAGGGCGTACACGCATTTTATCTACAAGTCGATATGAAAGTTACGAAGCTATGTAACTAACGGCCGTTCGTTGAATATAAGAACCGGGCACAAAACCAATTGTCGTGTACATTTACGAACTTTTGAGCAGCGTCTGTTTTTATTCATAGTCCTGATATTTAATGTTTATTCGCATTTTGAAATTGTTTATAGTGCTAATCTTTGCACTTAAGATTGAACATTAAAATATGTAGAAAAAGTGCGAAGACGTGGGTTCGATTCCAAAAGCGGCGACAATGTTTTCGCACTTTTTTCTACATATTTTAATGTTTATTCGCATTGTCACAACACTGGCCCTCACTAGTCCCATGAGATGAACTCATTTGAGAAAACGGTAAATTAATATATTATATACTTCCACTTTACGAAGATACACAGGATGTGTGGCAGTGGTACTTTCCCGGACGATCGGTTGTTAGTTCACCAGCAGAGGTGGTCTTCAGCTTGAAAAAACTGTTTGTTAAAACAGTAACAGCGTTTTGACAATCAATAAGTTAGTGTAATGCTTCTATCTATACAGATAAATAAAATTGGAGTGTCTGTTAGTAATCTTAAAATAACCGCTTTTTACTAAATGCATATGGATGTATACACGGTACATATACCAAAATAACATCATTTACAATCTTTGTCTGTCTGTCTGTTTGTTGCGGCTAATATCTGAAACGGCTGGACCGATTTGGACGGGACTTTCACTGGCAGATAGCTGATGTAATAAGGAGCAACTTAGCCTACTTTTATTTTAGATTTTTTTTAGTTTTAAATGCCACGCGGACGAAGTCGCGGGCACAGATGAATTGAATAAAGATATTTCAATTTGATCCGTATGGCTGGTAAGCTTAGAAGTGACTGAATTTAACGACTGATTTAGAACATTGATATTCCGCATATGAGATGGACATTTCACTAACAGATCATTATTCGAACACCACCGCTATCAAGCGATTACCGACGACCACGCAACACGCAAGAAGCTGTTACACGCCTTACATCTCCATTATTATATTGGCAAATAAAAGAGCAGTGAGGCATTGTGGTATATGGATGGAGGGTGCAGCGGAAGTTGCGATAAGTCGAGCGTCATTTGGCCGCCGGCTGTGGGGAGAACGCAACGTCGGTTGAGGCAGGTCGGTGGCCAGTTTCGTGAGCGAAATTCGACACCATGCGGTGGTCGAGAGTGACGACATAGAAGCTACGCTTTCCAGCCTTGACGTATATAAAGTGACGAGTTATGTATATACAATGACATATACGTCCAACAGCTTGGCAGTCTTGCGCGTCCGTCAGTCTCAAATTATTATCAGGCCGGCACATCTTATCAGACTGACTAATGTCTGATGATAATGATATCGTCGCCGGTGATAAAAGTACCAGCTTTGAGGATTTCGCTCATGCCGAGACGACGGCCACAATTATATCGCATGTGCTTACCTTCGAAACATGCTTTTCGTGTTTTTTCGAAGGATTTAAACTGGGATCGCTCGAGTGTGATATATTTGAAATCGAACACCCAGACTTTGTGTACAGCGACGTGCATATAATGTAACGGGGTGTCTGAATACAATTACGTCTACAACAAAGGGAATACATATTTCACTGCGCTCTACTCTAGGACAGGTGGAAATTTATGAGTCGGCGGTGTAACCTTAAGTCTATAAAGAAAGCTTTAAACAGACCAGAATCGAATGAAAATATTTTATCACCGCGACTTTGTCGCTGGAGAATTTTCACATTTGTTTTACAATAACTCATTTCAGCCACACGTATACAACATACGGCTGATATATATACTTAATAGTAATAATTTTCAAGGCATGTTTTTGACACATATCTAGTCCCCAACTAAGCGATGCTTGTGCTATGGATACAAGGTGAGACTTGTTAAACATACTCTTTTGCAAATAAATACACATTATATATATTAACTCCCACGAAATGGAGAAACACTTTGTTCACTACACAATATGTTTCTGGTAATAGCGATCGAAAAGAAAGCGCATTGATCAAATGGCTCCACTAGGCATTACTTGAAATTCGAAAAAACCTGATGTACACAAAAGATGTCGAGATTTTCATCGGTGTGGCAATCAGCCGATGCTCTTAGTGTTTAAAGCGTCTGGGCGCGAATTCGGAAGTCTCCCCGTAACGGCGCAAAACTTTTCGTCCTTCTCTCTACAAATTTTAATATTTTACTTTTAATATTTCGAAAATATGCAGGTGTCCTCGCGATGTGTTCCTTCGCGGATGAGCCGTAACACGTCAAATTTTTAGAACGTTGACAAATCTTTACACTCGGAAACATAGAGCGCTATTTTCGCAAAAAAACTAACATAGTAGTTAGTTTTTTTATTGGCTGGTTGAGAAAATGAATGATCCTCAATGCACTAATGTTTCACTAACTTTATAAATTATAGAAATTTAAATTGTTTATAGTGCTAATCTTTGCACTTACTTTTTCTACATATTTTAATTTTCTACATATTTTATAAATTATAATAAAATATTTAAATGAAACGCGGCATTCCGACATTCGTAACAAACCATTAGTTTTCCGCCAAGATATAAAGCTGAAAGTTTAATACTTACAGTAAATATTATACTACCAAGTTAAAATAATGCTTGGTAGACGTGGACCTTTTCAAGTGAATATTTTGATAATCGCTCACTTAATTTGCGATTTATCAATTAGGAAATTGAAGTTAGGGGTAAGGATCCAAATATAAACTTCCTAAAGATGGTATTCGACAAGCTGTATTAGAACTAATCGAGGCTCGAACACAAGCAATTGGAGAGCAGCGTATTCCTATTTTAAGTCACAAGTGGGTAACGTCTACGCGACTGCAAGTAAGCCACACCGACGGCAGGC